TTTTACAAAAAGCCACAATAAGAAACAAAGGAACATAAACCTAAAATGCCATCCGTAGTCGACACTCTCGTATGAGATCTCATGAAAATAAGAAATCCAACAGGACTCTCGTGATGGTCCTGTTTTGTTAAGCAGTGTGACTTTTTAAAATTTCACAATTTGAGTTTGGTAATCTTGCAAATTCTCTTATGGGTCCCTTTTTCTTTTAGATTTAGTTTATAAAAATTGCTGATTCTCCAAAAGATTTCAAAGTTTTTGTTCAGCAGTAATCCTATGGGATTCTCAACTAGGGGAGTGTACCAGTTCTTCTGAAATATCTGTTACTGTTGCTACATGACCAAAAGAACAAACCTTTAGCGCCCACAAGCTGTTGTAGTTTTTTTGTTTTTTCTTCATCACGTTTTTGATTTTCAAGACTCTCAGCTAGTTTATAAACTTTTTGTAATTCTTCACGTTCTTTTGACAATTGTTGAAGAGTTTTACTAAAAAGAAAATAATGTGAACGAACTACTTTAAAAACGGTGTAGATAACAACCTTTGCATTCGAAGTTGATCCTTTTTTTCAATAGTATATTCACGTTGATCTTCTTTAGCATGACGATAACTATTTTGTAGTTTTTGATGCTGCGTTTCTTGAAACTCTTCCTCATCAGAGTCTTCATTTGTTCTTTGATGTCGAGACATTTTGCGATTAAGAAAAAACTTCAAAAAAATAATATCAAACAAAAGTAGATAACGGTTTATTGGTATGCGATAAAATAGAAAGCAATCGACATTATTAATACCGTATGCACAACGACACCTCTCTGTTTACTTTTCTGTTAAACAGCATACAAAAGTCAAATCGCAAATCTAATGCAGATGATAGAATAGGATGTAGATTATTAGATGCATTACTTTCTCACGGAAAGATGCAAACTTTATGTAGATGTCAGTCGTTGTTGCCCATGTTATCCATCGTTGTGTAAACGGTACGTAATTAAGTGGTAAATAAATTTGTCGTCGATGAAACTTCTAAAAGACTTTCTGCCTTGGCAGTTGTTACTTATTTTGGAAAACCCAGCTTTTTCATAGAAACTACGCTTTCCAAAAATCTCGAAACTGGCGGCGTTTTCTAAAAACTTGCGAAAAAAGTCAAAACATCACCGTTTTCTAGTTTTTCAACTACAAAATCGACAATTTTCATACAAATATTTTGATCAACGTGCCGTTCGAGAAAGTAAAACAAACTGAACAATATCTAATACTTAATACTTAAAAAATTTTAGGTTCAAAATAATACTCAGAATAATTGGGAGCAAAACTTAGAGAAATAAAAAGTTTCTGCTGAGCGCGTTTCCGCAATGTTTTAATAATAACTTCTTATAGAAACAAGATTTTCCAAAAATTTTTTTGGCATCGTAAAGCCTAGTGTCTTGGCTACAAACGTACGCAAAAAAGTTTTCCTCAGTACGAGAAAATTTGCAGAAATTTTAACTTTTTTGTGTTGTCCTAATGGAATAGGGCCTTTTGCATGACTGGGTTACCGCTGTTTACGGTACCACTAAAATCGTAACGGTAAGGCCAAATTAAGTGAATTTTATAACAGAACTAGGTTTTACAATTACCTAAATATACTGTAAGTTTCAATACTTTGTCACCTAAGACTACTGAATTACGACAATCCGAACGTCAAAAATGAGTGAGTGCGTTACCTGTGGACATGCCGTATACATTGTTGACTAGCGATAAGGTTTGTGTTTAAGTTCATCGACTAACATTATCATTAACTAGAACTAACCAATTCAGCACGTTTATGAGTTACATTATAGTTAAAACCAAAGAGTATAAAGTAAAGAGGGCATATAAATGTATCAATAACAACATAAAATAAGTAAAATTTACACTAACAAAAAATCATCACAAAATTATAAACGCTTTAAAAATTCTCATCATCATCATATGGCATCCGTTGCTGTTGTCTTTTACGACTACCTCCCATTTTCTTTTGTTGTCGTTGTACAGCAACGAGTTCATCGTCCTCATTGTCGTATTCATCTTGTGGTTGTTCATCGTCACTCAAGTCACCCGTCATTGCCCCAAAGGATTTTCCATTTTCTACAAGTACAAAAATTTTTCCACTGGTTAACTATTTGAATAGATGAGGTCGTATGGCAAAAGAAAAATAATAACATAGATTTTGTTTGAAACAAAGTATATAAATTTTTAACGTGTATTGGTGCCCAAAAGTTAATATTATCTCCAACCGTTCATTTTTTTCCTTCTTCTGTGACGGTCAAATCGTTTGATGTCATCGAACAAGGTGTGAACAAAACCCCCTACTGAGTTTTCTTTATCATTGAACAAACTTCGCCAAGTATTGATTACATGACTAATCCCGCCGGTCTATACTCACAACTTACCCATTTTCATATTCATTTTTTGTTGTCCTAAGTCTTCTTCATCGCTTTCATTCTCGCTTGTATCCTCACTTTCTTCTTCATCACTGTGCTCGCCTGAAACAGAACAAATAATTAGACACACGATAACAATAATGCACATTGATTCTTACCTATGTCTTCATTCGGATCATTTAGTTGTCTATTAAGCATTTGTTGTTCCTGCTCGGTGATATGTGAATTGATTGACTGCATATACTGTCTTGATACTTCCTAAAGATTAGATAAATCAATTCACCAGTAAATAGGATTGTGAGTAAACTAGGTACTTGGACTTTTTCTCGTTGATTTTTAAAGTGTCCTTCAAGCTCTTTTTCTAAATAGGATGCAATACGAAATTTCAATACATAATTTGAGTACAGATCATTTAATTCTTGTTCGAACTTTTCAAAATCATTCATAAATGATGGTCTGCAAAATAAAAATTATAGGTCGGTACTTGAAGATCTCTAACTACAAACTACCTAACACTTCTCAGCATGTCCAATCGTCTTTGGTGTCTGTCTTTTTCTTCTCTGCGTTTTTGAATCTTTTCATCTAATGCTTGTTCGTCAATCTGCACATTATCAATCATCTTTTGATGCTTTTCTAGTTCACGCTTAAATAAACACACTTTAAATTACATTATATTTCTTAACGAAAACTTTGTAGCTACTTTTGCAGCCCTTGCAGCTTCTTTAATTCCTTCTTCAACTTCTGACAATTCCATACTCCGATTGATAACTTCTTGTCGAGCTTCCTAAAATGGACGACGACTCTTTCTATTACTTGAAGACTCTTATAATCTTATTAGCTTACTCTTGCATCAAGTTCTTTTCCAAGTAATTCATGTAAATTTGCTCCCTTTTGCGTGATTGTCGAGCACAGAATACGAGCGTTTTTCAACGTACTTATCTAATAGTAAAAGTCAAATCACTCTATTAAATCGAATTTGCAGAGAATGACTTACATCGTCATTCATTGCGTATCGATAATTTTGACCAATATCTTCATCGTCTTCAAGTTCCTTTTCTTCACTGTCGCGCAATGCTTTGTATAATGGTGTAATGACTTTAAGAATTTCTTTTACAGCATAGCCGTCGGCTTGATAAAGCTTTTTTGTATTTAATTTCATGTGAGCTTTGGTAGCCTAGGAAAAATATATACATACAACAATTAATAAATAAAAATTAATAAATATGCTTACAATAATTTGTGCCACAGTTCGGATAAATATGACACGATCTTGTTCACCGTCAATATCCTGAGGAATATCGGCTTGAGCATCATATCTAAAAAAATAAATAACAAATTGCATATAAGTGCCTTAAACGTTTTGTTTTCTTACTGTTTAACAAGCCACTTCATCAGTTCAGCTACTAGAGGAAAGTTTGGCTGACGAAAATTCTCCATTGATATAAGACGAGGATATGACAATACTCTTGTCATTTCACATAAACCTTAAAAAGAGAAAATGGATATTGATAATTTTCGGTAATAGATGTTACTACTATAAAATAATGACACTTACTACTAATGTCCCTGTAAGTCATTGCAATTTTACATCAGAATAAGAGAAATTGAGTGAATATCCATTCTATGAATGTGTGAACGACAACAGATTCTTCATCATCTTGAAAAAAAATCACACTAAGCGGTGAATCATCTATAGATACATACTCATAATAACAACTTTGAGGTGTTCTGTAGTACTTTCTTTTCTTTAATAATAGCAAAATATTTCTGTAAACCGAAATATCAATTTCTGATCACGCTGAAATACTTTGTATTTCCTTTCTCTAAACTTCAAACTTTTAGATGATTCTAATGTGTTTACGATACGAATCTAGGATTTTTTTACGGGCCCTTTCGCCTTCACGCAGATCCGCTACCGGCTGAAGCGAACAATAAACTCTTCACTAAAGAGAGCTTTTTGCATAGACAGCTGCTACGTGAGTGAGAAACACACTTTCATACTGTCTAATCTTCTTTATACTTGCTTTGCCATTACTTCAGATATAAGATACAGAACAAAAAAATATGCTAATAAACCTAGAGTTTACGTCAGAACTATCATCAGGCCACCTAAGTGCACTTATAGAAATCCTTCAATAGGTCTAACTTTTGCTCCTAAATCAAGCGTTTTTTCTTTTCGAACTACAAGCAGAACCAAAATTGATTGGTTAGACATAAGAACATCTCGTTGCTCAGCATGGACACTCAGACAGTAATTGGGCTATGTATCAAATAAGCATACATCATTATCCTAGCGGACAACAACGAAATTGTTATATTAGGTATTATTATAACTAGTCGGTAATTCACATATAAATAGATGTCGCCAATACCAGGACACTTGTTCCGTTTATGTTATAAACATTACCCCAACGAGAATTATTTCACTGTATTGAGTACTTATATGCAGGCATTTCGGCAAGGTCTAAAGGGTAGTCAGTCTTTAAAAAGCAAAATTTTCAACTGAGGTCTGGGAGAGAAACTATCATTTTTTAAAACTGGGCGGGTGCGTGCCCTCATTTCTGTAAATTTGTATCTCAATTCTAGTTCGACACGTGACTGCAGTTTATCTCAAAATAAAAGTGAGTATAAGGCTATAATGTCTTCATCTGTGAGTTTTACCGTTAAGGTAACGTTTGCCGTATGGGAAGAAAACATTCACACTTTGACTTTCAGAAAATGTATACTCGTTGATATTATCGTTAAAATCAATCCTTGCTAAAGTCATTCTAGCATCCTGTGAAGGAGACAGATGGTTGAGTCCCAATCGTTTGTACATAAAACAGGACCGAACTGATCGTCGCTATATCTTGAAAGCCACCAACAGCCAAACGAACTTACACCGAAGATAGTCACAGTTGTGATGATATCAACCTTTTACGTGCATTTCTCAGTTTTGTACAATTTTACTGTGCGATCTTTGCACAATGAGCTTGTAGAATAGAGCCTGGAAAAAAGTTAGTTTCAGTCGTGTTTTTGAATTTATTATGAATATACAAAGACATTTTAGAAAAATAATTATATACTCTGATAGCGCTTGAAATTCTCCATTAGGTTTCTCAGCCTGGATTCGAAATTATTTGCTAGCCCATATAAATTATTTTTATTAAAATTTAATAAAATATATTTTTTTCGTGTTTCTTTAGGCCCCAAAAGTTAATATTTTTTTCTTTAAAAAGATGCGCCTAGAAATTCTACAAAATCATACCTAAACCTTAATTCCAAAACTTCAGTCAAGAAAACTACGCGGAGTATACCAAAGACAAAAAAAGTGGAAGCTTTGAAAATCTGGTATTTTTTCCATTTGAATCTTATACTTCTGCTATTATTTCCGTAAAAAAGTATAGCAAAAGTTAGAGCTCAGTTCTTTTTGTGCTTTTGAATGTGCTCTTTCTCGTGATCTGTAATAAAGTCTTTTAGAACAGATTTTGTGGTCGAGAACAAAGTTTAAAAAATACGTCAGAAATTGACAACTTCCCGTTTCTAGCAATGTGCCGGAGCAAGAAACAGAAAATATTATCGAAGTTTTGATTTTGCAGTTAGGTAGAGAAGAGTAATCATTTCTGCTCAAAACAAAACAAATCCGATCGAAAAATCTTTTGTTTTGATGGAGTTATGGGACTTTTAGTAAAAGCACTCTATTAGTATAAATATAACTCTATTGGCTTTTTCTAAGTGCTTGAAAGTAGTTGAACTTTGTGACTAAACAACATTATAAGAAGAAATTATCGCTGCCGATCAACATTTTCACAATAATTGCTGTGTAGTTATCCTATGTTAATTATACGTTCCTGATTATAATATTTTCTTCGAAAAAAAGAAAAAGGAGTGATAAACTCACACTGTGTTATAATTATAAATAGAAGAAATGATGTGTCTATATCTTTCTCTTGTAAACACATGCTGAAAGAGAACAAACGGTGGAATCATGCGCAGACGTATAGCAATATGCGTGTAAGTTTTTCTTGTTTCCTGTCTAGAAGTCAAAGAGAACAGGATATAATTGAGGATAGTTAAAGCAAAATCTCGTATGAGTAGCAAAAACTTGCGGAGCCATTTGTAAGTCTCGTCGCGAAACCAAATTTTCCCTTGTCGTGAGAGATATTTTAAGACTCGCGGTGTGACTCTAAGAGAAATCCACGATCGCGACATGATTTCAAAACCTCCCAAGTCTACTTTCTTATCGCATGTCGCGACGCGAGTCTCTTTAAAAATTCGCGGCAGGATCGCGTAACGCGTTTGCTGTAAGACTCGCAAAATAAGACGAGATTTTTAGCGATCGCTATTTTTTTCTCGCGCTCATACAAAAATTAATGACTCTCAAGTATTTTACTATAGTTACTATTTATTCGTGTTTTCCGTCTAATATCGATAAATGAGCCAGGCTACTTTTACCGCGAGCGCAGACGAATGGTGTACGCGCGACGCGACCACGCAATTCTATATTAGCCATGTCGTAAGCTATTGTTAAGGTGTGATAAGATTTTGAAAATTTTTCAAAAAATCAGTAAGAGTAATATACTAGACGCGTAAGCAAAATAAAACGGTGAATAAGATTTGCACGGGAGACGCTGTATCATGTCGTGATTAAATGCGATCGCGATGTGATAATTTTTTCTTACAATGATCGCGCTCGGATCGCGGAGTCGTACCGCGATCGCTAAGAAGTCACTATTGTCGCTGCACGATCGCGAATTACAAATTTTCGAAAAGTAAGACTTCATTGCGATCGCGCCCAACAGCGACTTCTTAGTGATCGCGGTACAACTCCGCGATCCGAGCGCGATCACTATAAGAAAAAAGTGTCACGCCGCAATCCCGAATTCCAATTTTTTCCAAAAATAAGAGTTGGTCGCGATCGCGCCGCGACAACAGCCCCTTCTTAGCGATCGCGATATGAATGAAGCAAGAAAGTGGACTTGCGTTAACTGAAAAAGTTGTCCCAACAACAGTCGTTATCACGAGTCATGGCACGACTTCGTGATTTGAGCGCGATCGCGCTTTGAAAAAATTATCACGTCGCGATCGCGAATTAGGAATTTTTTGAAAAATAATGGCTCGTCGGAATCGCGTCGCGACAACCGCGATTATTTTAGCGATCGCGGCGTGAGTTGCGTGAATGTAAAGCGATCGTGAATGGCGTTCGTGCCCCGAATGAGCCAAGAAAAAAGACTGGGGATGCCATCCACTTTTCTGCATTATACATCCAGAAAAGTGGCTGGTATGGTCAGTCACTTTTCCGATGTTACGTTTTACAGTGATTTGAATACACTTACGAGGGAACTGCCCCAAGTGTCCGCTCGCTTTTTTCTTGAAACCTAGTGGAGAATAGGTTATCGACTATGCTGATTCCGAATATGACAATGGTTTTTGCTGCTAGGCCTTCGGAGATCTGGTTTTC